ATATTTAGTAGCCAACTACACCACAAACACGTGCATCGCACGTGCATCTAACTAGTAATACAAAAAAGAGCTTCCGGATTCTGTTTTCATTCTGGGTAGCCGTATTTAAACTCAATGACAAATAAACCAAAAGGCCAGAATATGGACGATATCTTGCTTATTGTGTAAACATAGCAAGGACAATGATCAATAGATAATTGCTATGGCAGGAAGAGGGATATTGCATTAACAGATACTTTTTTGTAAATTCTAGAGCAAGTTGTACATTGTAATAAAGCATTCTGTTTTTCCCTTTTCTGGTTTAAAAAAAAAAAAAAACTGGTCCAATTCACTGCATTTCTTATCTAGATAACAGGCATAACATGTTCAACCACGGAAATTTCAAGGACAAATTAATCATGCAAGACTTCATAAGTGGCACTGATAATATAATTTTCTTCTACACAACGAAAGATGCGAATGTAAAGGAAAACACTACCAAGAAAGACTTTATTTGCTGGAAAACATATTACAACACATTTCTCATAACTCTAATGGAGGACGAACTAGGCATGAATGTAAGAACAATATGTGCGGGCAGATGGAGCACTACTTCTACAACACACTAAATTTTTTCATAGAAATATAAAAAATATAATTCATTTCATGCCAAATCTTGCAGTTCAGAGATTCGAGAACTCATTGGACAGTTGCCCGCACATTTTATCAATAATCAACACAGTTTCCACAACTTGACTAACTTGGCCAAGGCCACAATGGAGGAGCCACCTTCACTTGTTGCTGCCTTTGCTTCCGCCTCCTTCTCTTTGGTGCGCTTTCTGAGTGACTCACCTTCGTCTGAGTCCATCAACTCTCTAACTCGATTCTCAACCTCCTCAGCAGCAACAAACCCATCCTCTGATTCATGAATTCGCAAAGCCAACTTCAAGTAATCCACCAAAACCACCCTGTTGAACTTTTGCTCAGCATAAAGTGGCCACGCCACCATGGGGACACCCGCCCATACTGCTTCCAACACCGAGTTCCATCCACAATGCGTCACGAACCCGCCAATAGATTTATGATTCAACACCTCCACTTGTGGGGCCCACGACTTCACCACAAAACCCAGGTCCTTTGTCCGATCTGAGAATCCACGGGGAAGCAGTGAATCCAAATCTGGTTCTGGAGGAGGTAGAAAGCGCTTGCTCTTGTCCTCAGAGGGTGGAGAGCGGATCACCCACAAGAACCTCTGCCTACTTCTCTCCAATCCAATTGCTATTTCTTTCAACTGTTTATCTGAAAACAAACCAAGACTCCCAAAACACAAGAACACGACACTTTCGCTAGGCTGCAAATCGAGCCATTTCAAACATTCATGCACACCATCAGTTCCAACACGTCGATCTTCAGATGCCAACAATGGTCCTACACAAAAGACAGGAGGTGTAGCACCATCAGGGTTGCAAGATCCTTCAGATACTGCTTTAAGTGTTTTTGGTTCGAGGGAGTCGAATGAGTTTACAATAAATCCAGCTGTCTTTGGCAAATGGAGAGAGAAATCTAGAAAGCATGCATACTCAATCGAGGCTCGATCAAGAATCGGTTTTGCCACATCCGAAGATGGTATTGGAGGTAACCCAGGAACATCAACTAGTGAGTTCAGATCTTTGAAACTTTTAACGGTGTTCCGATGTATTATGGGTAAGTAAAGGAAAAAAGCGAGGGTAGAGATGCCGGAAGTAATAAAATAATAGGTGGGGATTCCAAGTTTGGTGGAAATGGAGAGAGCTGGGGTGCAAAAGAAGTCGATTATGAAGGCGGTGATGGTGGCGGTGAGAGAGATGTGTTGAAGTGCTTGGTGGACAGAAGGGTTGCTTAGGCGAAGGGCCTCGAAAATAACAGCTTCCATGGAGGAGAAAGAGTCGAGTTCAAGAGAAATAGATGGTAACTGGTGGAAGGTGATAGATTTGGTAGCAGCAGAAACTCGGTTGATATAGGAGGCAGTTGAGCCAGTGTTGAATGATGGAGGAACTGTGAGGATAACAATAGTGAAGGAAGGATGGTGCTTGAGTATGAACTTCCCGAGCTCCACCATGGAAATCAGATGCCCCATGCCCGGGGACGGATATAGTACTATAGTTTCCATTCTGGAGAGAGAGAGAGATTGCAAAATTCAAGATTGCGAATTCAGGAATCAAAGATAACTTTAAACTTGAAGAAGAGAATTCCAAGTAAACTTGAAAAATGAGTTTGTTGAACACAGACAGGAATAGTCCAAATGTAAAGAATTTTTCACGGAAATTTTACACCCACCAGAATAAAAAATGAAAAAAAAAAAAAAAACCATCCCCCTCGCGTGTATTGCGAGTGTATGTGAAACCACCAACTCCCTTATTTATGTAAGAGTCTGATCGATTGAAAGGTGGAAAGAAAATGAATTCAAGAGAAAATAATTGTCTAAAATTTATTTTGTAGAAAATTGTTAATTGAGTGCGTTTGATTGATATAATTTTTCACCCGAAAAATTTTAAAATTTTGGATCTTTTTATGTTTGTTTGGCTTTGTTTCACATGGAAATTATCTATTAAAGTGATAATTTTTTCCACAATTGATTATAAAATTTGTTTCAATTCCAAAAA